CAGCCAATCAGATGAGTATGCAAATTAACCCAACAAAGATGGCGGTTAATTTGCATACGCAGGCATGGGGAAAAGACTGAAGGCTCCACCCGAGTGAAGACAGAAGACTGAAGAATGAAGAGGCTTGGCTTCTCTGCTGCAGCCACAGTGGAGAAGCCAAGCCTCGCTGTGGCCAGACCAAAGGCCTGGATCCCGTGTACCGGAGGAAAACCAGTGCCAGCAGCCAAGGGAAGGAAGGCCTATTGCGCGAATCCTTGTGCAACAGGCTTCTAGTTCTTTTATAATGCCTGCTTCTTTTTTGATTGAATAAAGGACTTTTTGTGTGTAAAAAATGCGCATATAATTTGAGTGTTTGGATTATGTTATTATTCTTTCAAAAGGGATTTGTTTTCTTCTGGTAATAGTGTTTTAAGGTTGCGAGAGATGACCTTCATCCAACTAGGGTCTAGGTCAGTGATGGCAAACCTATGACACATGTGTCAGAGGTGACACGTGAACTCATTTTTTGGTTGATTTTTCTTTGTCAAATGGCATTTAAATATATAAAATAAATATCAAAAATATAAGTCTTTGTTTTACTATGATTGCAAATATCAAAAAATTTCTATATGTGACACGGCACCAGAGTTAAGTTAGGGTTTTTCAAAATGCTGACATGCCAAGCTCAAAAGGTTCGCCATCACTGGTCTAGGTTCATTCAACACAGGCCAATATTTATTCCTCCTCCTAGGATGTACCCTTCACAACCTCAGCTTATGCTTGGGGTGTTCACCTAGATTCACTGCTTTGTAGAGCCTGAATTTTAATTATTCTCCTGTTCTTGTATTCGGCTCTCTCTGTTTTTCAGCTGCTTTTTGTCTAGCTTCTCACATTCTCAGACTTTGCCTCTAGGTAAATTAGTCAGTGCCTCTAGGGGATAGGTCGGCACATATCTGACATGTTTTTCTAATAAATACATGCACATATAATAAAGATATAAATAAATTTAGGGGAATAAAAATATCAAATCTATTCTCATAATAATGTTTGGGCAAGAAGTAAAGGGAATTGGACTCATAAGGCTTCAATCAAATTTATAATGCTTTATTTATTTTAGAAAAAAGTCTTAAAAACTATAAATTTGCAAGAAGTAAAATAAGAGGCAGTATAATACAAATGGCTGTAATACATTTAGCATTTAATAAGTAGCATCTATAATAATAAAAGCATAATATTCTAATTAGACCAAATGTCCTTCTGGATGACCTTCTGGACGAAGCCTGGGCTGAAAGGGAAGCCTGGGTCCCAGATGCCAGAGGGAAGCCAGTGCCAGTAGCTGGGGGAAGAAAGGCCTACTTTTGCATGAATTTCATGCATCGGGCCTCTAGTTCTCTAATAAGTAGCTATTTATTGAAGGCCTAAGATGTGTTGTGTACTGTGCTAAGGGAAGATTTCATACTAATAAACAAAACAGGCATGGTCCTTGCCTTTCTGAACTTTACAATCTGGTATCTCACAAATATAAATATACATATATAAATTAAATATAAATAATAGATATAGATATAGATATCGTGGTAAGTCACATGAAGAAAACTACAAGGTGAAAAGGTAGAGATGGTTGTGGGAAACAGTGGTTTTGTTATATCAAGTGTTCGGGAAACAACAACTGCTCATCCTTGGTTCTCAGGAGCTGTGGAAGCTGCATATTTACAATTGAGGATCACTCCTGTGATCTCTGTGGAAATGGGAAGAAGCTGCATGAACAAGTTTGGGGACTCAGAACTTTGCTATCACGCACCAGCAGTGATGGGAAACTGGGAGTATGCTGTAGGAGGCAGTGATACACAGGGGAACTGAAAAAGAGCAACATGGGGAACAGCTCCATGGAGAACACATAGGAAAGGAGAATGAAGAACATTAAACTGTAGCTGAGAGGATAATGAGGAGCTAGATCAAAGCAGGGGTGCAAAGAGCCAAAAATATATTAAGTGGATGTTGTTTTTCTATTTGATTTTCTACCCTAAGGTTGATGTTACTTCAAGAAACATGGGTTATAATTAAAAGAAAAATATTACAGCAATAAGTGCAAACTACTGAACAAAATGAGGCTAAGAGTATAAGGC